ATTTTCTTAATAAAAACAGATTGTGTAAAGAAAACAAGCACAGAGCCTAACTAAACAGAGAACAAGCCAAGCTAATTGTGTGCCTTTCAGAGAACTGTTTGCGAAGATTAAAGGAGAGTTGTAGTATTTTAATGATTTTTATAAACACATATAAAAGGGAGCATCTTAAAACTTAAATAAGATCTCTAGTTTAGTTTTTTTTGTTTTTTAATAAAGTGCTCATTTTGGTCTAGAGGCGAAAAAAAAGATGATATACTCACCCAACCCTCTGTCCTGCGGCAGTGACCGCTTACCTCTTTCCCCCTCCACTTCGGCTATGGTATGTCCCCCAGCATCCTCAAGTCTAATGCAGGTTCATGTCATGGGTCCTTAGACTGCAGGAGCCTGGGAGGAGAAGAGGCTGAAGGGAACCGTCTAGCAGCCAGACGGCATTGAGGATAGGGTGAGTATATCTTCTTTATTTCTGTCCCAATGCCAAAATGAGCAGTTAACATTTTCAGTGTGGGTGTAGCCCCACTGCATGAATTAATGTGAAAAATCCTCCTGGAGTTCTTTTTTAACTTCAGGCAAACCGCTAAATTCTCAGTTGAAATGCATATATGGGTGCTGTTTTACCTGCCAAAAGATACATATTTAGTGAATCAGGACCAGAGATTTACACAATATATACAGCCAGGTTGGTGACCTGATTTTTCTGTTCTGCATCTAAAAAAATAAAGCTTTGTTGCCTGTCAGCACAAGCCTTTGATTGGGCAGTGAAGAAGCAGCAGCTCACCCTCTGCTCTCACCTGCTTTCCGCATGTTTGTTTTTTCCTGTCAGATTCCATTTTTAGAAGATAAACTTAATATCATTGTTGTGGTCAGCACTTTTTTCTGCTTTTGAGCTGATATGGTTTTCTATTTAATCAACGTGCATCAGTGGCTGTATTGGTGTCACAGCATCCCTTTAAATGAGTGAGCACATTCATGAATAGGTCTTCCGGCCACCACTTGTGATATATACAGGCCTCAAAATGTCCACTCGCCCCCTCGAAATTGGTGAGTGAAAATTGCGTGAGGGCGAGTGGAATGTCATCGAGGGGGTGCGCCGCCGGCGTGACCAGGGATGAGACACTACCGCCGCGGTGATTGCTCGCTTCTCTTCTCCTCCTCATCCGCTGCAGCTACAGAGCGGCCGAGGAGGAGAAGAGAGAACAGAAGCAAACAATCGGCGCGGCGGTAGTGTCCCATCCCTGGTCCCGCCACGGCGCACCCCCTCGATAACATTCAGTTCCGCTGTCTTCTGCAGCTTCCTCCGCCCACCTCAGCTGCCAGGCTGGGAGGAAGACTGCAGAGACACTGTTGGCCCAGCCAGAAAGTTATGCAGGGGGAAAAGAAAGTTTTATCCGGGTACATGGAGGATCTCTGTACCGCACCCCCCACCCCACCAGGAGGAAGAAGAGGGCACCTGAATACCATCAGCTAAGTGCACTGTAAGTCCCTTTTCTTTCTGCCTTACACCGCTAACCTCTGCACTGCGCGTCACGCTGACCTCTGCACTGCGCGTCACTCTGACCTCTGCACTGCGCTTCACTCTGACCTCTCCACTGCGAGTCACTCTGACCTCTGCACTGCGCGTCACTCTGACCTCTGCACTGCGCGTCACTCTGACCTCTGCACTGCGCGTCACTCTGACCTCTCCACTGCGAGTCACTCTGACCTCTGCACTGCGCGTCACTCTGACCTCTGCACTGCGCGTCGCACTGACCTCTGCACTGCGCTTTACATTACTGGCCTCTGTACTGTGCGTCACACAGATGGCCTCTGTATTCGGCATTGCACCACTGACTTCTGTACTGTGCGTCACACCGCTGACCTGGCGGAGTTAAGGCCGGGGCAGGGTAGGGGTTAGGTGGGGCAACTGGTGGCGAGTAACTTTTAAGTCCTGGCTAGTAGCTCAGGAGTCGCACATATATTTATGTTGCGGCAGAGCAGAATATACTCATCGTGACACATTGGCAAGAAGGGACAATGGTATTATTATCAGAGTATTTCCTCACAGCTCTACTACCAAATTCTTTATCAGGGACACTGTCATGTGTCATATAAACATTCATGCCTGTGTGTTTTCAGATGTAATGAAAATTATAATCATTACGGCCTGAGAAGATCAAATATGGTGCTGGTGTTCACTTGTTTTGAAAGGCGCAAGCCCCAACTGTGTCATGTAGGATACTGTTTCCACTAAGTCACTTTCCTGAAAGAAGCATGCTGCCAGTGAAGCCTGAGAAGTAGTAAATCCCATCCTCTGTATTTGTTTCAAGTCACTTGCTCACTGGGGAATGAAGCCAAGATCAGTATGGCAGCCCTAGACCCTGCACCTTTAAAACAGGTCAATAGTGAGAGCTCTTGTTCAATTTTGCATCCACCCAGATGATACAATTTACTTTTTTTTTTGCTGGCCTTATGGAAACAAGTTGTAGCTGGGGTTCTGTGTTCAATTTTCACCAAAAACACTATTTGTATGGATTTGTAAATTCTCATTTGTTTCTGTGGGTTTCTCCTGATTTCTTATAGCATGTGTGTATAGTATGATTGTGGTGGTACTGTGTGGTGTACTTTGTAAGAATCAGGGACAGAATTTGACATCAATGATTGTAAAAAAAATTTGGGTAAGTGAAATTGAAGCATGGCATTGAAATCTGTGCTTTAGTTAGTGTAATGCAGAAGTCAGCAACCTGTGGACTGCAATCTATATGGGGAACATGAGATCATCTGGCTGCTGGAAAAGTAAAAGGAGCCATGATATTGAAGCGTAGGTGTGCCATCTACTGGAGATAATTCAGTTGTATCTCAGGGAGAAGGTGAAGTAGGGAGGCACCCAAAAATGCATTAGAATGCCATTCCATGTTCCCATACTCCAGTTCTTCACCACAGTTGACTTCACCTCTGGTCATCTGCCTGGTAAATTGTACACACTCAATGCCCTGCAATTACCAACATTTCCTTGATATACATTATCTGCTTACTAAATTGTACATGATAACCAAAATCCTGTTACCTACACTTTGTGGTTTATATTTTGTAATTTAATTGATCAAAAAACCTGGGTTAGCTGCCCTGCAGCTACTAACCCTTACTTGGTATTTGGTATATAATTTGCATCTCTGGCCTGCTAAATGGTACACACTTTGTGGTCTGTTCATAGGAAAACATTTGCGTGGCTATTCATGCATCGTAATGCTATGTATATTCGATCTGAGCAAACTAAACAGCTGAGAATGGAGAAAAATTGAATGTTCCTCAAGCTATTTTCTCTTCAGGTCAAATTTTCTTCAAATATTATGTGTAGGGATGCACCGATACCGATACTAGTACCAATATCTGTGCCGATACCAAGCATTTGGGCGAGTACTCGTACTCGCCCAAATGCTCCGATGCCTAGCCCGATACTTCCTGTATCAGGAAGCCGGGCAGTGTGTAATGACGCGCTGCCAGGCTTCCTGATTGACCAGCAAGACGGTTCCGCCTGGGTACTGGAGGAAGGCCACTCCTGGCTGGAGAGGCCCCGGGGGTGACAGGCTGGACATGCTGAGGTGAGAGGGGGCAGACTTTCTTGTTAATCGGGAAGCCGGGTGGCGAGTCTTTACACGCCACCTGGCTTCCTGAATGGGACTTCCGGTACTCGGTAATTGGTATCGGCGAGTACTGAAAAAAAATGATCGGTACTCTGTACCAAAATACCGGTATGGGTGCATCCCTATGGGCAGTAGTGAATCAGGAATGGGTGGGTGACATCAGAGAAAATTGACAATAAAGTGCTGATGCTTTGACTTAAAGACCCATGAGTGCCTCAAGACCTACTTGGATTTGTATTGATATGCTTGTAGATGACCAACCAGGCATTTACCTTACATAGTGCGGTGGCTACCCTGGGGACTGTTTTTTTTTAAATTGCATAGCTATTTGTCCAGCAAAATTGCAGGTACTTTTGTGTGCAAGCTGTTGTGAGAATGGTTCAAAATGGAATGTTCTTATGGCTTCTTCTTCCGGTTGAAAGTTTTTCAACTATTATGGGCAGTAGTGAAAGTGGAAAATACCACAATAAGGCCACCAGAGGATCATAGGAAATAAATACTTCTTAGTAACCAGAGATACAAGGTAACAATTCTAGAGTATTCTGCAGGGTATTAACAGATAAATGTAATTATTGCTACTACGGGGATCCTGTGGTTACATTTATCTGCTAATTCTCTAAAATTACTTTTACTTTAATAACTAAAATATATTTATCGCCTATAATGCTCCATCTAGTGGCCATAATGCGGTATTTTCCTGATTTACTACTGCCCATAATATTTGAACAACATTTACTTGTGCTCCATTCTCACAACAGCTAGTTAATTAGCTCAGAATGAAAGTATCTGCAGTTTCGCTGAACAAGAAGCTAGCCAGAAGTTTTTTAAAAATAGACCCCTTTGTGTACTGTTACCCACCCATTTTTGATATCTGGTTCACATCTCTTGCCTAATGACCTGTACACACGTTACGCACTGCTATTTTTGAACATCATTGCATGATATCTAGTTCTTCTCTCCTGCCTTGCTGCACTATACCGGCTGACTGCATTTTGATATCTAGTTTTCAACTCCTACCTGCTACCGGCTGACAGCACTCTTGTTACTGACCCTTGCCTAATATCTGGTTTATATCTCCTAACTGATCAATTGCCAAGTTGACCCCAAAATATTTAACAAGGAGGCTAATTAAACATTTCTAACTCAACTGTTTTGTAGCAAATTATATGGGGTTGTGATGTTTATTAATAGCAGTTTTTCTCTGCCTGTCACCTTGCATTTACCTTGATAGCTTGAAACGTGAAAATCATTTTATTCATGATAGATCTTTAGAAGCTTCAGTGTTCCTAAAATAGATCTCGACCTCTCTTGGGTCGCATACCCTTGACCTAGCATACAATGTGGAGTAGATTACATTTCATCTAACTGTATGTTCTCTTGCAGACATGTTTTCCACAAGGTGTGCGTGGATCCGTGGCTCAGCGAGCACTGCACCTGCCCAATGTGCAAGTTGAATATTTTAAAGGCTTTGGGAATAGTGGTAAGTAATAGTAAAATGTATTTTAGTGTATTTATTGTTCATTTAGAAAGTAAATATTGATATGGTTTTTAAATATCCTGGTTCAGTCTTAAGGCTGTGACGCACTGCATGCGAAGCAGAGCGGAGCGGTGGCACGCTGCCTTTGCGTGCAGTGTGTCATGTAATTTTCTCTCCGGCAAGAGGCCGCATAGCTGAGTGTGCCAAGATGAAAAATGTCATCTTCGGCCAATTGACTCGCGCATATAAACCCGCGCGTCAGGATGCAAAGTCCAGCCGGTGGTTAGGTGCGAGCCGATTGGCTGAAGGTACTGTCATTAATCTGCCTGCGCTCAGCTCCCTGCTTGACAGCTTTGCTTTGCTCTGCACGGCGTCTGGTGCAGTGTCATGGGCTTGAAAGTGGTCTCCCACCCCTGAAAAAAGATTATGGTAAAGGCATCTTTAGAGAACGGCTCATATATCCGTCACACAGTTTTTCCCTTGCATCAGAAAATCTAGGCATACAATACCATGCACCTTTGACACTCAGAAGCTCAGAACACCTGAATAGGTTGATTATTGCAATAAGTATTTTAATCTGTTGCATTGCCTGACAATAACAGTCTGTGAGGGTTCAGCTTACAGTTCAACACTTAAAATTGTGTGCATTTAAATTTTCTTTCAAAGTACTAGGCAAGATGCTAAATTGAAAGTTGCAATACACATACGGGAACTGTTTTTTTTTTAACCTGCTGAAGATTTTAAAATGCCTGTCGGCCAGTCTTGTGATTCAGGCAGCTCAGCCACACAGCACAGACAGATCCTCGACCTCCACTGCAGCAGTAGTGTAGCTTGGTCAAGAGCACGTCCCAGCTTGTTGATTGCACAATAAATCCGCAGCAGAAAATTGATGAGCTCATCATTCTACTCTCCTTCTGTCAGTATATAGCTGCACCGTAGCAGAGCTTGATTGGCTTCTAGTGCTGACCTCCCTCAGTCATGTAGTACAGAGGATGATACCCTTGGATGTTTTGTTGCAATTAAAATACATTTAATCATTTTAATAAAGACATAATTGTTTCTTTTTTATATGTATCTAAAACCCAGTTTTAAAGAGTATGTCGCCGCAAGATACAGTACATGCACATTTCCCCCTGTTTTGTTGCTTTGAAAACACTGCAAGTATAGGTAAATTCCTAATGATCTGCTGTGAATCTAGTGAGCTCCTAACCTCACATTTGAACTGACAAGGCTGCCTCTGCTGCACTGAAATCTCAAGGTCTGACCAGTTCTCTTCTCCTGGACTGCAGAACACCTTCCTCTCGTCTCATCTCCATAGTATAAGAAGAGGTGTTCTTTTAACATGAACTATTTTTCTTGCCAACAAGTTTGTAATTGTGTAGCCAGTGTTGTGATTTGTATACCTCTGCCGATACTGCACAGCAGTCAGATGAAACCATTATTTCCTGGTTCAGCGTTGCACACTTATGGGAGTGTCAATCGCCTGGTTTCCCTACATCTTTCACTGGTTCCTCCTGCTGACCTCCATGTCACTACTGTCTTCTAAAATGTATTGAGGTCAGCAGTAGGGACCAGTGAAAGCTACAAGGAACCCAAGAGGTCCACACTTCCAGACATGTCAGTTTACCTGACTTCAAGACATGAATTCACAACATCAAGGTGGTGTTCAGTAGTGTGGGCAGCTGGAGATGTATATACCATCTTTAATAGGTAAAGTTTTGCTGGAAAATGTTTATGTAGCCACGTTTATGTAGCCACAGGATCGCTTTAAAGACGTGGTGCCCAGAGTTCAGCTTTAAAGGAGAACTATGAAGTGAGTGATTTTCACTCAACCTCATAGTTCGAGTCGACATGTGACAATGAAACTGTCACACGTCGGCTCAATAGATCGGGAAGTGAGCGTCACTCACAGCTCCCTGCAGGGATTCCCCCCTCCCCGCTCCGATCCTCCAGCGCTGACTGGTGGAACGGGCGTGTACAGCTGGCTCTGCCTCTAGATAGGCAGAGCCAGCTGTCAATCACGCAGCTGGGTGGATTTCGACAGTAATGTCGGGATCCGTCCCGGCTGCGGCGGTCTCGCGGTAGCTCGCGGTATACTGAGCTTTGGGTCACGGGAGGACGCTAGTTTATGTCCTCCCGTGACCCTTAGGAGAACCATGGGGAAAAACACTTACCCCATAGTTCTCCTTTAATGTCATTTTCCATAGGCCACTTCTTTCAAGGTAAAAATCTACAGTATTTACTATAAAACAATTTGCAAGGTTCTTCTTATATCCTCTCATGTAGAACATCACAGGTACTTATGTCTACATCTCTAGAAGATTTTGTTATAGCGCGTTAAAGGGTTTCTAAACCCTCAGTTTTTTTTTGCATATATCTACTGCTAGCAAGCATTAGATATATGCAAAAAGTTTTTTTTTTAAACGCTTTAACAGTAGTTGACATTTACCCCGTCCAAAAAAACAAAACTGCTCGGGCGGCCGCAAAGCATCTTGGGGCGGGCGCCTGCGCAGTTCGGATTTTCGGCCGGGAGACGAGCAGAGACGCAAGGTAAGTCTATGGACGCATGCACCTGCATGCAGACACCGCTGGATCAGAAGTGCCTGCAAGGACAGAGGAGTCAGCGCTGAATCGGAGAGCCGCCGCACCGCTGAAGGGACAGATGAAAACATCAGGAAAGAAGATCAGAGTAAAAAACATCATTTAAGGTAAGTGCTAACATTAACATTGGGGGGAGGGAAAACATTTTTGCCTTTAATGTCACTTTAATCGCTATAATCCTCAGCTTGAGCATCTGACCTGTGTGTGCATTTTTAGTTTTACAAAAAAAAGGGCAGACAAATGCGGTTATATAATTTTCAAACTGCAGAACAAAACCATTTGAAAACATGTCTTCTGTTATTCAGAAGCCTGAAGTGAATGACATTTAGTTAAAGCACAGTGTATCAAATAATTGCCTTTTTATTTTCACAAAGTTCTGGTTAAACCTTTTCATCATCCTTTGTTGCATCTCAGAACTGCTGTTCTCTTTGCAGCAACTCTTTTCTACATGCACACTTTTCACAATGGCTGCGTGTCATTTCTCAGGGACGTTTTCCTATTGGTGGCAACAGTGGACCATACTTGCACAAAATACAACTCCAGGGTGGCTTGTGGTCTCTTTTGGAGGCCAATGCAACTAGGTAGCAAAGTAGAACAATGGGGGCACAGGGGCAGAGCCATATGACACACAAGTGCTGAACAAAGGACCTCAAGGCAGGAACCCCATTATTATTATTTATATGAAAGATGCAGATTTAAGTGATTGGGGTTACATATGCTTTAAAGCAGAAAATTAGCATTTTTTTTGCCAACAGAAGGAGGCAAAGTATGGCAATGTATCCAAGATTGAAGAAAAAGTCTAAAAAATATTAAATTAGTGATCCTCAAATTTATGGATTTCTACAAAGCATGCAAAAGTGCAAAATGTACTCTTAAGAAAGACCAAAAAGAAAATCCTTATATGGTACATTTGGAGTTTTGGGAGATGTGTTAAAATGAGCCTGTCTTCTACCTTAGCAACTTTTTAATTCAGGCAATCTAGTGCATAACCAACGCCTCATTTGACCTTGCACATTTTCTTGTTAGCAGCATAGACCGGTAAGTGCTGATCTGAGTAATGACGCTTGAGATGAGGAACAATAGGTGAGTGTAGCGGCTGGGACTGGCAGAATCTGGCACAATCAGACATTAGTGCCGTTCTAGCAGGGAAGGTTTTTCACTGTTTATGAAGTACGCCTGAGACCTGTTGAGGCTTAGCGCATAAGCATAGAATTATACAGCACTTCTTCATAGGATGTCAGCAATAGGAGATGTTGTTTTAAGCTAAGATTAAAACAACTAAGATTAAAACAACAACAACTTGTGCCCTGAAGGATTCAAATTTCTTCTGTGTGTATGCACAAAAATAGAGGGGGATGAGTGATTGAATACATTTGTAATTATTCCTGCAGTGATTCTGCTGTTTGGATAGCAAAGTCAGAGAAGTTTAAAGCAATGCTGGGCATTTGTTATGCAGGGCAAAGATGACCCACCCACTATGCTGCAAATACTTACCTCCTCCACTGCCATGTTTACCTGCTGGAGCCCAGGGTGTGGGGGACATGGGACTCTCTCTCTTCCTGACTTCTGCAATGCTTAGCCTGGTCATCCTGTTTCTTCTTCGAGGAAGACTGTAGCATAGTAAGGGGGCACTACATTGACCTTCAGTTTGAGGGAGCAATGCAGTGATCCTAAATAATTGTATTGTAACCTAATAGCAGCTGTAACCTGGGCATTTATACTGATCCATATGTAAAGCGGGTATACACAACAAATATGTAATAGGGGCATTTGCACTAATCGGTAATGTCACAGGGGCATTCTACAGATCACCAATGTAACAGATCACTTATACCGCCAATATAATGTACCACTACAACTACCACAAGTTGGTAATTTGACATTTACATGAATCATCATGGTACACTGACTACGACTGTATCAGCGGCATTTACTCTGTCCACTAATAGACCCGGGGCATTTACAATTACCTTTAATGCAATTACTGCTGCACCCTACTCTGGGTTGCATACTCTGGACTGCTGCACTCTGTACATTGTGCTGTATGTTACATACTAGGAATACACCGATACTAGTATCGGTGCCGATGCTGAGTATTTGGGCAAGTACTCATACTCGCCCAAATGCTCCGATACCTAGCCCGATACTTCTGGTATCAGGAAGCCAGGCAGCGCGTCATTACATGCTGCCCGGTTTCCTGATTGGCCAGGTTCCGGCTCCATGCTCCCTCTCTGCCTGGCTTCCTGATTGGTCGGGAAGCTGGCCAATCAGGAAGCTGGGTGCCGTATATGACGTGGCGCCTGGCTTTCTGATTGGCTGGGAAGCCCGCTTCATGCTCCCTTGTCACCTCATGATGAGGGAGCATGGGGCGGATTCCCTGCTAATCGGGAAGCCGGGTGGCG